TATATATATATATATATATACACTTTTTAATTCTACTTTTATTTACTCATTTAAAAGTTCTCAACTTATAAATTTTTAGAATTCTTATACATTCTCATAACTGTAGTGCATCAAATATAAATATGTATAATATATAGAAGTAAATATATGTATAGTAAATAGATAGATAGACAGACAGACAGACAGATAGATAGATAGATAGATAGATAGATATCTGCCCTTAATTCATATTGATTTAAACAATATACATTGCATACAAATGCATTGCAGAAATGACATCCAGAAATACATGTGATTAATTGCCATAAAAATGATGTCACAGTGCAAAAAAAAAAAAAAAAAAGACATTATTTGTAAATATTGGTTTTCATTTTCTGTTTTTGAAGTTCAAAATTTCATGTTTAGTTCAATTGGTTACTTGTCGTTTTTTGTCATTTTGACTACCTTGATGCACAAATGTAATTTAAAAAAGACTTTTTTAATGGTCAATAAATAAGAAATTTAATTTTTTGAAATAACAGTAATGAGAATGCCTTATTGTCATGAAAATAATGGAAAAGTCCTGTTTAATTCAATCAGTCACTTGCAGTTTCTTTGCAACTATTTACTAAATTTACTAGCAATTTCACATATTTTCCAGTGTACACGACCAGTCAAAAGTGTTTGAACAGTAAGATTTTTAATGATCTTTTTTTTTAAATATACATAAATTTAGCAAAACATATTTTTTTCTTTTGATTATGGGGTGAAATTTAACCCAGACATCTATTTGTGATATTCATTCAATAAAATATATGTTTTTCTACTCTTACTGAAACACACTCACAGAGACTGAAATCTGGAGAAACAGGCCTTGAGAAACACCATTCCCTTTGAACATATTACAGTCCCCCGTTACAGTTCACTCGCACACCTCCCTTTGAGTTGGAGTCACGACGACCCCGAGCTGCTGCAATGCAGCTTCCAGACCTGTTCTCCAATCACATCTGAGCACAAGACAAACTTCAGCCTGCCGTCTGAAACGTGTGTATGTGTGAGTGTGACTTCACAAGCTTTCAGATGTTGTGGGGGCTTCCCTTGCTCTGGGGGGAATATAGCACAGTCTGTTTTGAAATATGTGATCAGTGGGCCGTGTCCTCACGCAGGCGCGCAGACCCATGCCATTATTAACTCATTAAGATTAATATCGTTTGGCGACAGGACACTGGCTTCATTCTGCTATTGAATGCGACAGCTATATTGCACATTTGTTTCTCGAGCAGTGCTGCAAAATGAGCTGTTACATATTCTATTCAATGCGTTAAACACTGAATAACAGATACAGGAACACAATGAGGAAATTTCCTTGATTACAATCTGTTCATTAGAAGCAACATGAAAGACAGCAACCCAATTTACTTCAGTTATGTGACGTATTTCAGAGGGAAATGGAATATTTGTGCGGGATGGCACTTGATTTTATCCATCAGGAAATGATGTGAAGGTGTAACGTGTGCGTTTCTTATCAGAATTGAGCTGAAAGTGAGTTTGCGGTGGATTTATATGTACAGTTATGCATTTGGTAGGTGCTTTTATCCAAGCAACTTACATTGCATTCAATTTATATACATATTTCTATCAGGCCTTGCATTTTCTGGAATCAAAACCACAACTTTGGCTTTTTTCTTCTTTTTTTTTTAGCAGCGTGTACTACTGTTTGAGCTACAGGAATTATGCAGTATTGTGGGAAAACTATTTTTTCAAGTCTGCATTTGATAGATGCTTTTATTCAAAGCAACCGATAGCGTGTATTTTATCAGTTCATGCATTTCTTGGGACTCAAACCCATGATCTTGGCATTTCAAGCACCATGCTTTACTGTTTGAACTATTAGAGTTATTTTTTGTTATTGTCTGCTATTAGTGCCATATTAGTACCTTGATTGCAGAAATAGTTCATCCAAAAATTTAAATTAGCAAAAAATGTACTCACCCTCAGACCATCCAAGATGTAGATGTAGATTCACTGAATATACTGCTCAATTTCTCCAAATCTGTTCCGATGAGGAAACAAACTCATCTACATATTTTCAAATCTTACAAATTTTCATTATTGGGTGAACTATTCCTTTGAAGGTTCTTTAGAGAACCCCAAATAGATCTTCTATCACATTGCTTAATTGGAACAGATTTGGAGATATGTAGCATTACATTACTTGCTCACCAATAGATCCTCTGCAGTGAATGGGTGCCGTCAGAATGAGAGTCCAAACGACTGATAAAAACATCACAATAATCCACCAGTAATCCACACCCCTCCGGTCCATCAACATCTTGCTTTTGGCTAAAATATGAGTCCTTTATCCATATTGCTTTCTCCTGTGAAAAAGTCGTCCTGTCTGAAGGACATCTGAAGCACATGATCAAGCACAGTTTACAAGTGAAAACGGTTCAGAATTGTTCTAAGCAAATATGTGGGTGGATTCTGATGTGAGTGGGCAACAGGAGATGGACATTTTCACTGGAGAGAGCAGTATTATGGATAAAGGACTCCTATTTTAGCCAGAAGCAATGGTTTGAAGATAAAAATGTCTTAATGATGGGTTTGTTTCTTACAAACACACAGCCTTTCACTTCACAAGACATTAACTGATGGACTGGAGTGGTGTGGATTACTTGTGGATTATTGTGATGTTTTTTTCAGCTGTTTGGACTTTCCTTCTGACGGCACCCATTCACCGCAGAGGATCCACTGCTGAGCAAGTGATGTAATGATACATTTCTCCAAATCTGTTCTGATGAAGAAACAAACTCATCTACATCTTGGAGGGCCTGGGGGGGCCAATTTTTCTCTTCTCTCAATCAAAAAGGTTTATTCTTATGTTAACCTCACACATAATGGTAAGACTCTCTCCACTGAAGACACAGAACAGCATACACTGTTTACAGGGTGATGCGGAGGAGACGAATTGTTGAATAAAGTTTTTCTTTTGCGCACAAAAAGTATTCTCGTAGCTTCGTATAATTGCGGTTGAACCACTGATGTCACATGGATTATTTTACCGATCTCCTTGCTACGTTTCTGGACTTGGGAACATTTCAGTTGCGTTGCTGTCTATGCAGGGCCAGACAGCTCTCAGATTCCATCAAAAATATCTTAATTTGTGTTCCGAAGATGAACGAAGGTCTTACGGGTTTGAAACGACATGAGGGTGAGTAATTAATGACAGAATTTTCATTTTTGGGTGAACTAACCCTTTAAGCTTCTGTACGAGTTTACATTAAACTGCCCGTTTCATAATGAGCATTTATTTCATTCACCTCATGTTGGCAAAAATGGTTTGCGCTACAATCTTCCTTACCTCAGCATTATGTTGTGTAATTTCTGTTGCTTTGTCCTCACGTCAATGTGATGCAATAGCGCTTCACATTCTGTGCTCACTCTAGTGGACAACTACCGCCACAGCAAATTCAACACATATGGACACTCACTCACGGCTAATTAGAAGTGTTGGGGAAAAAAAACTATTTTCACTTTAATAGTCTGATTTTTACATTGCCTAAAGAACACGAGAGGGCAGTTTATTTGTCCTCACGTCAATGTGATGCAATAGCGCTTCACATTCTGTGCTCACTCTAGTGGACAACTACCGCCACAGCAAATTCAACACATATGGACACTCACTCACGGCTAATTAGAAGTGTTGGAAAAAAAACTATTTTCACTTTAATAGTCTGATTTTTACATTGCCTAAAGAACACGAGAGGGGAGTTTGCACATGCAAAAGTTGTGGTTGGTTGCCAGGTCATTTGAATGCGCTTGTAATGGTGATCTGTGTAGTTTTTACAGCTCATGATCTGTACTTTAATACTTTTAAACATCAGAGATTTTGTCACATTTTTAAACAAGCCACCAGTCAGAGTAACAAATCATGCTCAGGGAATGAGCAATTTTCACATCCTCTGCGTGTTTTAATGGGCTTGCTACATTTATGACGACCCCTGTGATCTCCGACCTGCCTCAGAAAACACACCTGCTAAATATACAGCTGACTTGAGCATCGTTCAGCACTTACCTGCGGTTAAAATCTAAATCTGATAGCGACACCATGGTTCATCTTGTGTCTATTTTTGGAGGTGGGAAGAGTGACCTTTATATTGAACAGGGACTAGACAGTTCTTTCAGAAGAGCTCCGAGTCTATTAACCCCCACGACCCAACTCCAAAAAAACACACAGCTTGGTTAATAACACTTTATTGCAGTTTTGTCGCTCCCACAGAACTGCACTGTTTGCACTATGTTCACTGTTGACTACCATACATCATAACTAGGATTCCAAAAAAGCCTAAAGCTTATAAAAATGCAGCTTTCTGAGGTAACATCTATCTAGATATCTAGATTAATGTGATTATTTCCACACAAAACCCCAACCATTACACAAGACCTGGCTATTAGTTGTGGAATTTTAAATACACTATCAAAAATTAAGGTTCTGTATTGGCATCGAAGGTTCCGTGAAGAACCTTTAACATCCATGGAACCGTTCAAATGCACAAACGGTTCTTTTTGTGGAAAAAGATTATTAAAATGTTGCTCTAAAAAAGAACAGTTTAGTTAAAGGAATAGTTCAGCCAAAAACGAAAATTAGCTGAAAATTTACTCACCCTCAGGCCAAGATGTACGTAGTTGAAATTGTTTCTTCATCAGAACAGATTTGGAGAAATTTTGCACTGCATCACTTGCTCAGCAATGGATCCTCTGCAGTGAATGGGTGCCGTCAGAATGAGAGTCCAAACAGCTGATAAAAACATCACAATAATCCACACCACTCCAGTCCATCAATTAATGAAAAAGCGAAAAGTTGCATGTATGTAAGAAACAAATACATCATTAATATATTTTTAACTTCAAACCATTGCTTCTGGCTAAAATATGAGTCCTCTATCCATAATATTGCTTTATCCACCGAAAAAGTTGCCTTGTCTGAATCAGGATGAAATACAGATCAAGCAAGCACCGTTTACAAGACAAAACAGTTCTAAACAAATATATCAGTTCATTTTGATTTGAGAAGGCAACAGGGGATGGACTTTTTCACCGGAGGAAGCGTTATTATGGACTCGTATTTGAAAAGTTGCATGTATGTAAGAAACAAATACATCATTAATATATTTTTAACTTCAAACCATTGCTTCTGGCTAAAATATGAGTCCTCTATCCATAATATTGCTTTATCCACCGAAAAAGTTGCCTTGTCTGAATCAGGATGAAATATTCACAGATCAAGCACCGTTTACAAGACAAAACAGTTCTAAACAAATATATCAGTTCATTTTGATTTGAGAAGGCAACAGGGGATGGACTTTTTCACCGGAGGAAGCGTTATTATGGACTCGTATTTTGGCCAGAAGCAACAGTTTAAAGTTAAAATGTTTAAATAATGTATTTGTTTCTTACAAACACACAGCTTTCCCTTCACAAGTCATTAAATGATGGACTGGAGTGGTGTGGATTACTTGTGGATTATTGTGATGTTTTTATCAGCTGTTTGGACTCTCATTCTGACGGCACCCATTCACTGAATATACTGCTCAATTTCTCCAAATCTGTTCAGATGAGGAAACAAACTCATCTACATATTTTCAAATTTTACCAGTTTTCATTATTGGATGAACTATTCCTTTGAAAGTTCTTTGGAGAACCCCAACTAGATCTTCTATCACATCGCTGTGAAAACCTCCTTTCAGAACCTTTTTTTTTTAAGAGTGTAGATCGTTTTTTATTGTGGTATACAAAGTGGATAAGTGGAAATGTGAAAAAAACAAACCCATATGTATCATAACATGCAGTGTAAAAATGCTAGTAGCTTATCAGTCTGAAGAGAGAGAAATAATCATCCATAGTTACTACTAACCTATAAAAGTGAACTACTAACCCAAAAGACAGTGGAAAAACGCACAACTGGGGAACTGATTCAGTAAGTTTAAAACATGACAATTGCATCACTGTTCACATTCAAGGCAGCTGAAACCCATTTTCAGTCTCAGGATATTTTATTTTTGCTATTTTTTACATTTTTTAAGTGTGTGTCAGCCATTTTTGTCTTTCCATGCATACACATTTTTCCCTCCAAAACCGAAGACAGTTTATAAAAGTAGTGCGGAAAGAGAGGAGAGTTATTTTGGCGCACTCTCCTCGCATTCACAAGAAACTCCGCCTCAAGACTTCACAAGAACCTCCCTCCACCCCGTCCCAGAATCCCCCGCCCTCAAACATCCCCACACACAACCTCTTCACGCAAAAAAAAAGTCCCGTGAGATCCGTCTCCATTGATTCTTAACGGACCCGCGGCAGGAACAGGATTAGCTCCACTGCTCCTCCTCGGTTTGTTCGCTCCACCGTTCCTCCTTTCTTTCTCTCGTCCTCCTCCTCGGTCTCCCTCCCACCTGGTTTTCTTCTCTCAGTTTCGCCGGTAGCGGTTCTTGGGCTTTTCCCCACAGCCGGTGGCCTCGCAGGAGGACAGGGTCGGGTTCTTGCCGGAGTTGATGCTGCCGAGCAGAGAGGGCAGTTCGTGGGTGATGGCGCGCTCGATCTTCTCCAGTAGACAACCGCCCATGTAGGAGCATTGGGCCGACAGTTGCTTGAAGCTGCTCACTGGGTTAATTCCGAAGAAGTCGCGGTAAGCATCTCGGTTGGGCAGGTCGAACTTGCTGACGTTGGTTTTGGCCAGGATGGATTTAAAAATGTAGAACTTGTCGGGATCGTCCACGATCTCCTTGAAGACCAGTTCGGGGTCGCTGAAGAAGCTCATCTTCTCCTTGAAAGTCTGCACGTAGCGGTCCACCAAGAGGGCGTGAATGCGAACGCGGATGCCATGCTGGCGGATGAAGGCGATTTTGTTCTCCAGACGGTTCTCGATCACTTGATTCAGGTCCTCCAGCAAGGATATTTCCTCGCGTTTGAAGAGGTCGTGGCTGGTGTCCGGTGCGTAGTCATAGGGCCAGAAGGAGCTGACGTAGACGCGCGGGGGCTCGGTCACGTTAATGAGGGGCGCCAGGCTCCAGAAGAGGGCGCCGTAGACGCGCATGAGGTCCTGGGTCGCCAAGCTGTCGGCCTTATTGAGGATGATACGGATCTGGGACTCCCGACCTTTCAGCTGCCGGAAGAGCATCTCCAACTCGAGACCGACGTCCAGCTTGGTGGGATCAAAAACCACGAAAATGAGGTCGGCGCGATCGATAAACCACTGGCACACGTCGTTGAATGGGTAACCTTGAAGTGGGAGAAGAAATATAAATAAATAAATATTATTCATAAATTGAGAGGGTTTTTAAAAACCTAACTTTTTAAGACTTTTTAAAGGCCTTCACAAATAAATTAATACTGTATATTCATTCATATTAAACCTATACAACGGCAAAACAAGTAATGTATCTCATATTCCCCTACAGTGTACAACACATATTCAGCAAAGACTTTAATTTTTTGTTTTTTCAAATCAGTGTGCCTGGGGGGCAGTTTTCAGTTTTTCAGAAAATGAAAAAAAAAGTTGCTTTGGCTAGCTGAAATAAAATAAATATTT